TACAAATACTTACTAGCCACCAAGAAAACGCTAAACTTTCCACTAAAGAACTGAAACTTTGCCTTTGGACCTGGAGAGCCACACACATGATGGTATGACAGAAGTACCCGGGCACATCAAATCACATTCCGTCCTCAATGAATAAGCCCTGGGTGACTGAAATACATCACAGATGGATGAGAAAATATGAAAACAAAAATACCTTCCTAAGTGAAACCATACTGATTTACCTTCTGTGAAATAAATAAAGTAGGATGTTTCTTTCAAAGATATGGAATGAATCCATGCAGTTTGCTATAGTTGTTTTAAAGTAAACTATATTTTAAAAATTTTGCGGGGGGGATAACTAAGTTGACCATTTTTCTTTCTGAATGGATAACAAATATTTTGCTTTTCAAAAGAGGAAAATTAATTAGGAAAATCAATAAGCAAGCCATAGAACGGGAGAGAATATTTACAGTACATATATCAGACCAAAAGCTTGTGTCTCAATAATATAAAGAACGACTATAATTTATCATAAAAGACAAACAACCAAAAATGGCAGAATAGTTGAATAGGCACCTCACAAAAGAAGATACATGGATGGCAATATGAAAGGGAAAATTGCTCAATATCATTAATCATTAGGGAAATGCAAATTAAAACCACAATGAGATACTTCTATACACATTAGAATGTCAATAACTTAAAAAGATTGACAATACAGTGTTGTCAAGGATTTGATCATAACTCTCAAATATGGCCAATAGAGTGTAAAATGGAATAGTCTGGGAAAATGTTTGGCACTTTTTCAAAAAGTTAAACATGCATCTTCCCTGTGTCCCAGAAATTCCACTCTCAGATATTCATCTAAGAGAGAGAACATACAGGTCCACAAAACGCCTCATGTGAGCCTGTTCATCAAAGCTTTGTTCGTAGTATCAAGAACAAGAACAAGCCCTGAGGTCCGTCACCAGGAAAGCGGAGGCGCTGTGGTGTGTGTATACAGGGGATACTTCTCACCGAAGCAGGCGTATGCTTCTGATACGCGTAGTAACATTAGTGGAGCTCACCTATTATGCTGAGTGAGAGAAGCCAGACGGAAAAGAGTACACAGTCTATGACACAAATTACATGAAGTTCCAGAAGAATTCAAACAAAACTATGACAAGAGAAATCAGACTGCATCAGGGGCCTGTCTGGGTAGGGACAGAGGCACCTTCTGGGGTCGTGGACACCTTCTGTCACCCATGTGGGTTCCTTGAGTGAATGCCTTTGTAAAAGAGAATGTGCTTCTATATGTAATGACGTCTCAATAAAATGTTTCCTAAAAGAAAAACAGACACAGATGTGTGTGCATATTTCCAGTAATGGTTGGGGAATGTGACCAAACAACAATTTTAGTGGTAAAACTGGCTCTAACTTCTGCAATATTTCATCCATTTGCTTATTTAACAGCTCTCGTCCTGCACCCGCTGTGCTCCAGACCCTGTTCCGGGACTTGGGAGACCACAGTGCAGTGGGGACGTACAGTTCTGGAGCTGGCAGCCAGCCTGAGGACGGGCTTCCTGAAGGGGGCTGGGGTCCCCGCCTCCATCTCAGTGGAAGACTTTGATGGCATCCGGGCTGCTCACCTGAGACAGCTGGTCTCATTCCTCCAGAGCAATGACCATGACTCTGTCCTAGGGGTCTTCATGATGATGTTTTAACTACCCTGCAGCCTACCATTCAAAAACCAGAGCTCTAATTCCATCAGGTGTAAGTGCAAAAAATAGATTTTGATGAGTGAGCATTCCGGAAAAGAGGTAAGAGAAGTAAATGTAATAAGTAAAAATTATGCAAAGGGGAAATTCAAAATGTTGAGTAATTTTCTACCCCAAATATTCCGACACCATTTTAAGCTTCTTAACTCTGGTGCTAGTACTGCCTTCCTCTCTCTGTTGCTCAAATATCACTGCAGTTGGTTGTGTGCACACGGGCCTTCCTGCTACATCTCCTGTCCTTTAGTTTAGTTTGTTTACAGAATTGTTCTGGATGGACACGTGTGTGCACCTCTTTCTCCTCCACCCCAGGAACGCCTTTCTAGGTTGGAAGGCCCACATTTCTGTTCATGTTTTCTGAGCCCTTGCTCTCTTGTCTTTACATGAAAACTTGCTTGCGTCCCTGTCCTGTCCTTTCTAACGTCTTCAGTCCTTGATGCTAAAGGGCCAACCGAACAACATTCAGGCAAAAGTTAGTGGGGCTGGGTCCCAGGAGCACACCGCTCACACAGGCACTTCAGAACCACAGGCCTGCATGGCTTTGCTGGCACAGGGGTCAGCATGGCCCAAAGGCCTTTTGTTTCCACGTTGCCTAAATGTTCATCTTCTCCCCACATGTGACGGTGTGTCTGCTGTGCTGTACCAGAGAAAATCACCACTTAATGCATATTTTTCTTTTGCCTCAACAGATTCAAATGTTATGAGGTTTGTCAGGAATTCCCTTGAGTTTGTACCAAATCTTTGTATCTCTTTTCCTTCATATTAGACAAACATGTTTGACATAAACTGTTTCAAGGACTGCAAATAGAGGAGAGGTCTGAATGGATGGCTTTTACTTTATGGAGAGTTAATAAATCTCAGAAAATAATAATCTGTGCAGGATGCAATGAAGCTGAATAGTTAATCTGCATAGAATCCAGTATGTGATATGGAGCCCACGTTCCACGTGGCAGAGTCCCAGTTCCAGACAATCACCGCACAGTCTGCCAAGAAACCAGGACTTGGGGAAACTATGTCAGCCTTTGAAACAATATGAGCTGTAGGCAGATTATTGACTAATCATAGAACAGGTGGCTCATTGAAAAATTCTTATTATTTCAAGAGAGTGATAATTTTTGTATTGGTTGTGAATCTTAAGGGCATAGAAAGGTGGAAGAAATATTGGAAAGGGAGTTAGTGCTGGCACAAGAGTTTGCTGTGATAACACTGCAGAACGATCCACATACCTGCTGGCTCCGTGCTCCTGGGCAGTTGAGAGTCAGGTGAAGGTCCCTTCACCTGGGGCATACAGCCACCTGGAATGGCTCTTCCTGGGTCAGAGGGCAAAAGTGCAAGGTGCCCAGCAAACTCTGCCCTTTGTGGCCTTGGCCAACATCACGTCTCTCCATATTCCAAGGTATATCACAGGACCATGGCCAATTCACCTCTCCCTGTGGAGGCTCAGTGAAACTCCAGGACTGGGGGCTGGGGGCACAGTTCTCCAGGGCACAGGAGGTGCCACCCAACACAAGCTAGAGCTGTCTGAGGCCTACGCTCAGCTGGATGTGAAGGCATGTGGCTTAGATGAGACAATATTTGTGCACAAACCACTTTTCTTTGTGATCCTCACGTGTGTCCGTATGATAGTAAAGAGCCACAGCAACAATGCAGCCACAGCAAAGCGACCCTGTTCCCTTCCCAGATGGTAGTGATACGGAAAAGGAGAAATATTTGTCCAACTACTGCTACTAATATTAGAGGAAGGAATGATTCCGTTGATTGCCTGATGACGCTCTGCTCAGTTATGGATCCCCAGCTGTCCTTGCTGTACCTGGAGTTGAGCTCAGTTCCATACTGAGGTTTCTCTCCCCTACTGCAGTAGCTCAGATAAAATCTGTCTTGTCCTTTTAACAAATGTGCAGCACATTTTATATATATATATGGCATCCAACTGATGTGTTCAAAGATCACATATGTCCTGGTGGTGTAGAAATTGATTCTTTTCTTCATTTCCTTAATGCCTGCTGGATATTCCCATCTGTCAACCCACAAGCAATTCAAACTGACATCCTAATCTGGACTCATTATCTGTCATCCCCAGCCAGCCTCTCTCTGGGTTCGATTCAGTCAGTAGCCCCATCACCCATCCATTCACCAAGCTAGAGACCTCAGAACCCCCTTGGGCACCTCTGGGCCTCACCTCCACCCCAAACACTTCTCAGTAAACAAAATTATTTTAAGAGATTAGTTACAAGATTATCAAAATGAATTTAAGAAGCTAGAAATGAGCTCATCCATTGAGTGGCCACAGCAAAACACCTCTCACAATTGCAGAAGTTACCATGTTTGGGTCCAGCAAGGTAAAGGGAATAGCAGAGATGCCTCTTTTGTGCTATTGAGAGGCATATATCTGCTGACACAGAGACAAGACCAATCCAGAAGATTGTTAAGTCAAAAAGCCCTTATTGCAGATGGATGATTCTGTGTATAGACATTAGTAATTGTTAATAACCCATGTAGAATCCCTGAAGAGAAATTCGTGGAAGAAAATAATTTGTCCTGAAGGCGGTGCCATAACAAGCATCTGGATGAATATCAAAAGCAGTGTTTGAAACAAATGAGGTCGATGGAAACCCCACCTGCGTCTGTCTGTCTACCATTCCTGTGGGTGCAGTAAGAGGAGATGGAAGGCTCTGAACCAAGAGTTCACTCTGGAAACCCAAGGTTCAAGGAGTGCACAGTTTTAATCACATAAAGAGAGAAGCTCTTTATGTTAAAAATATTCCTGTAGCTCTAATTTCCACACTACAAGCGTTATCTAAATGATGAATTAGTAAAATCCAAGCCATTGCTGTCCATCCAGTTTTATCTTTATGAGAGGAAATGTAATCTGAAGACCACTCTGGAATTTCTAAGCTGCCTGACTGCTTAAGGAAGTTTAACCAAATGTTTTTAAGAAAAAGAACGAATTAGGAAAAAAAAAAAACCATGACATTTTGTGAGAGATTCTTACTTTGAAGATTTGTTTATGATAGTAGTGTCTTACAAAAATTGTTCACTTAATTGACGTATGTGAGGTCCAAAGTGTAAACAATTGAAATATATTAACATGTAGTGAAAAAGTCCACAAATGTAAAGCAAAAGTCCAGCTTTGGAAAAGTAATGTTAAAGATGGCTTTGCAGTCATGTGTGGTTGGTGTTATAATTTGAAGCCAAAAGAACAAAATTAGTAGAGAAACATCTGTATATTCTTGTGGAAGAGTTTCTTTATTTTGAAATAGTTGAATTTAAAAGTTCTGCTGAATTAGAAATCCTTTTGCATCATCAAAACAAATCTCAACTACGTCAGTCAGTGAGAGAAAAGCAAGTTAGATTCATAAATGATCACACATTTTAAGTCTATTTTAATGAGATCAATTTTTCCAATTTTGTTTAATGGCAAGACAGGACATTCAGTCAATTAGAGGACGAAGTGATAACTTGTCTGCTCATGAGTACAAAGACTTGTTTTTTAAGCAATGGTGATTATCAGAATGATTCGGTAAAAATTCTGAGTCAGATTCCTGTAGCCAATTTGTTTACAAAGCCTGATATAAAAGAGTGATATTTGCAAGCACATGCTAAAGTTTTCATTTAAAGTCTGAAAATATTGTTGTTGGAAGTGTTCCAGCTCAGCATTTAAGAATCTCTCTAATGTTTGATGTTTAACTTTTCCCTCAAGGTCATATAATATAAAGAAAGGAGGAGTGAGTTTTCGCTTGCCTCGCCCACGTAGATGCTCCTGCGTCCCCCGGTTCACCCTGAGCGCCAGCCAGCCAGCCGTTTCTGTGTTGTGGCCCTGTGGAAACTTGGGAGGCCCAGGGCACTCACAAAAGCAGACCTGCCTTGTGGCCTCCCTGCTGCCTTTGCAGCACATCCGTCCCTCCTGGCCGGGATCGCAACCACCATCCTTGAACAGTCGCCCCTGTTCCCATAGTGCTCCCCGCACGTGAGAGTCCCCAGCTTCAGAGCTCAGCCCAAGTGTATGCTCCGCTTGCCCTCCCCGTCCTGGGACCCCAGCCGCCCCCCTCAGCTCTGTCCTCCCGCAGCCCATGAACTCCTTGAAGCAAAGACTGGATGTCACGACTCTGCATCTCCAGCTCCTACGCAGGGCGGCTGCCTGCGGTTCGGTTCTGTTTTCTGAGCAGAGTGGGCCGGAGCCCGGCGCTCCACATAGCCCCACCACACATGTGGAAGAGGCCAGCTCTCTGGTCTTCAGGCTCCATGTTTTTTCTCTAAGTGACAGAGCCTGTTTTTAAATAAAGCACACCTCACTGGGAGGCCCTGTATATGAAAACAGATTTGGGGGGCAGTTCAGGTAGCAGAGGGAGTGGGGACCCCAACACTGCCACATTCTCCCTCCCACCTGACCCAACATGCGAGGACTCAGGGGCTCATGAGTTCAGGGAAATTAAGCTTCCCATTTGCCCAGCCCAGGTCGGGGGTTCAGCTGTCACGGCTACCGCTGGACTGCGTGGGGCCCGGGGGCCGTGAGTGTCCACAGCCCCACCTCCGGCTGCAGCCGGGAGGCTCCGGGCCAGAGCTCCGCTGGGTGGGGAGGACGGCGCAGCAAGGCGGGTGCTGGTGCTGGCGTGGGAGCCGTGCTCTGCACCACCCGCCTCACCCCTGCAGTTTCAGTTGGGGCGGAGGGAAAGTTCCACGGCGACGACTAATCTCGTCTTTAAATTTCCATCTGTAGTAACAACAACAGTGCCTAACCCTATATAGTGCTGCTGGGTGACGGGCACCATCTAAGACATGCCTCTGTCCACATATTACCTCAACCAGGCCTCCTACCTATTCTCAACCCCACGTTATAGCCACGGACACTGAGCCCAAGGCAGGTGCTTGTGGCCTGAGAGCTGGAAGTGCAGCCAGGGCAGCCCGGACCTAGCGTGCAGGCTTGTAGTCACGACGCAGAGTGGAGATCCCAGAAAGGTCTCCAGTGAGCATTTATGAGGGATTTCACGGCAGCAGAAGGGAGCCGTGGGCTCACTGCAGTCACGTTTGAGGTTTTCCATTCACTCAGGATTGAGGCAAAACCAGAAACATTCAAAAACTCGAGAAGTAGGCCCCAAAGCTCCAGTCTGCATGGGACCCCTACTCTTCTGACGGGGATGTGGTGGTGATAATCACCCCAGCTCCAGCTTACCAGGAGGCTCGCATTGTCTGTATTTGAGGGTGCCGATAATTACAAGCCCATGCCTCCCTGTGCGCCCAGCCCTCTCCTAGGCCCTGACTTAACCCTTGCCTGAGCCTATGGGGGGAGCAGAGAACTAGGGGAGCCCTGGGGGCGGGTAACAGCCTCTGCTGCATGCAAGGGGCCTCTGGCTCTTGTTGGTCACCGACTCTCCCAGAGGAGAGGGGAGCAGAAGACAAGGTGAGGCAGGATGGGCCTGCGCTGCTGGCTGGCGGCCCCAGTCCAAGACCAAGAGCAGCGCTGGAGTCTCACCCGGAAAGCGTCCGCCCTCCATGGCCGTCCGCAGCCATGCAGGTCCTTTTCCTAGATTTCACCTCCCACAAGGTCTGGTTGCCTCAAAGATTCAACGTCTAAACCACCACAGACCAAGGGCCTGCCCTCCCCCAAGGACAAGCTGCTCCACTGGGAGGGCGCTGACCTCAGACCCGGGATTCCGAGATGCGGCTGGAACACGGGCAGCCCTGCAGGCTCGGGCAGCATCACTGCACCGGGCGGCCAACGTGATGCCCAGAAATGCTTCTCCAGTTTCACAGGAAGCCCAGTCACATCTGGGGGCCCCTGATGCCGTCCACAGACACCTGTGCTGCGAATGCCCTGAGCCACAAACATGGGCTCCTGGAGGCCAGCAGGTTATGAAATCTCACTGCAGAGCGTTCGTCCAGAGGAACCCATCCTTAAATGACCTGCGAACTGGGCAGCGACGGGTGGGCGCAGAACACGTCACAGACACGTGTAGGTATGGTTTCCTATTCCAGTGATGATGGCAGTTACCTGAGTCTAAGCTGTTAGCCTCAGGAGAGCATACTGTGAGGACACAGAAAGGCGTCCTGTGAAACCTAGGACTACAGACCTGACACTGTTGAGGGGTGGCAAAGGCTCGGGTGAAATATTGTGTCTTTGTTTTGTTTTAGCAGAAATGTCCCAACCATGTGTGGAAAAACACATAAATGGAAGGCCTACTTGGTGGTTTGTGTGCAGCCGACTCCTTCAAAGACATTCTGCTTCCAAGCTGGTGTTTGAATGTGCGTTTCAGGGGGCCACCTAGGATGTGACAACAACAGCCTCTCCCTGACCCAGAAACACCACCCCAGCTGATCATGGAGCCCACAGCTCTACCAGTAAGTCTCATTTCTACTTCTTTGAATGATTTTATAATAATTATTGTAGACAGGGACAGTTTCATGGCAGAAGTCAGCTGGGAGGCTAGTTTGAAAGTTATCAGTCAAGTATCTCCCGTGCTGTGTGGAGCTATTTCCTAACCCCGTTCCTGTGGTGGCTGCACGCATCCGTAGGCACTGTCCTCTAGGCATCCGTTCTTTCCGGGGATCTTTAGTAAACCCCTATCAGGCCCCAGAGGATGGGGATGCAGGAAGGAACACGAAAGCCATGGAACCACTCTTGCAGGGCTGTATTCTTCCAGTTGTCGCGTCTCCAAAATGCTGGTCCACATTTGACTCCCTCTTCCTCTCACACCACACATCAGATTCTCCAGAGATCCTGCTGGCATGGCCTCCAAGTGTGTCCTGGGCTCGGCTGCGCTTGACTCCTCCACTGCCGTGAGCCATCCAAACGCCAACACTCTGGCTGGGACGTCACGTTACTTAGCCTCCTCTGAGGCCTCTCTGGTGGCTCCTGCCCCACAGCAGACGGGCTGACGCTCACCATCTCTCCTGTCCTCCTGGGCACACGCTCCTCTCTGAGCCCAAGCTCTCCTGCAGGTGGGAGTGGCCCACAGCTGCGTTTGGGCTGGAATGGGGTGGGGTGACTGCACTCCTAGGCTGAATTCTACAGCTCCAGGGGCACAACTCCTGTCCTGCCCTTCTGCAGCTCAGGTCAGGGGACCCAGGTGACATAAGGGACCTTGGTGCTGAAACATGGCTTGGAGGAACGCCACTAGTCTGGAAAACTGGTTTTGACCCACAAGTACACAGTTGGCCCTACGCTGTCGCTCACCTCCTGTACCAGCTCGAATAGTTTGCCAAAGCATTTCTGGAAGCTTGTCTCCTTCTCTCTCAGATCAGCAGAGCAGACTTCCTCCAGCCTCCCTGTCTCCCTGCACCCCACAGCCAGGCACAAGCCCACTTCGCTACCTACGGGAGGACTGAGCAGGAGAGTGACACTATGAATGTCTTCAGTACATGCGTTCACTCCCCCCAGGGCTTCATCTGACGCCGGCTCATGCTACGGACTGGGAAGGACTGAGCATCAGCCATACAGCTCGGATTTCCTGACGTGCGTCCACGGCACAAAAGCCATAGGAGGTGCTTTGGGAAAGAGATCCTGCAATCATATGTGTGTGGGAAATGCTGCCCATTTCTTTCTTAGAGCTTCAAGACCGTGGTGGTGATGCACAGGAAGTGTCCAGAACTGTTACGGTTCCACAATCTAGACGTTTCTCTAAACCTTCTGAAACGGATGAACTTCCTTTTCTTGGCTTGTTGTGTTTGGTTCTTCACTCCTGAGGCCATGCAAGGGAAAGTGCAAAAGACATCAGAGGAGAGAGAACACAGAGCAAGAGAGAGGCCTGCTGGTCCTGCAATCCCCTAGAGAAAATCTATGCTGTTAAGGGGTGGAGCTTCTACTCTAAATATTTAGTAAAAAAAATAAAAAAATAAAAATTGCTATGCTTTCTGAGCCACTTTATATTTTTTCCCCTAAGACTTCACCGAGACCATGATTCAGCCTTCCATTTTGTATCTGCAGAGATTTAAAGCGGGGATTAGACCTTAGGTATTTCGGAAAACATCTAATAAGCTTCCGTCCAGCCGCGCTGGTCTCCGCTCCCTGGCCGGAGACCCCGGGAGCACCAACCTGCGTCCACCGTGGGTGCCGCCTCCCGCCCTGCACTCCCCCGCCAGACGTCCGGTGACTGCGGTTAGGGACACACGCTCCTCCAGCCGAGGGAGAGCCGCGCTTCTCCCGGTCACGGCGCAGCCGCCTTCCTCGGAGCCAGGCCCCTTGTAGATTCACTGCAGCGTGGAGGCTTGGGACGAGGGACCACTGTCACTGCCCCCCAAACTGCAACCCCCGTCCTCTGTTCCAGGCCCAGGCCGTGGTCGGCAAGCTGGAACTTCTCTTTGCCTCCACTGGCATCGGGCAAATGCCTTCAAACCCGGAAGACAGCGGCTCGGCGCAGCTCCTTGTTTGAAGACTACAGCTTTGTGGCTTCTAAGGAAGAGTCCAGACTCTTGCAGGACCACAGCCATGGCACCACGTAGACAGCCAGAGCGCCCAGACTGGGTGACCAGGTCTCCGGTGCCCCGCCCACGCTGGATGCCGGCCTGGTCAGGCACACGGCGCACGGCCGTCCTCTCGCTGGGCCGGCGTCACCGCACCCCAGTGTCCGCGGACGGCTTGCCTGGGCCACGCACAGCGCCGGGCAGAGGACATGGGCCAGACGCCGCCCATACAGTGTCCACTGGTCACTGGGCAAATCCTGCCGAGGGCCGCTCTGCCGGGTGGGCCAGGCGGCTGTGAGAGCGGCCGGTGCCAACCAGGCATCACGGATGAGCCACGGCCGCCGGAGCAGTGCACGCAGCCACCCGCTCGGCCCTGGGAAGCAACACCCACGCCGTCCAGAAGCCGCTGCGAGACCAGAAATGGGCCCGGAAAGGGCGCAAGGGGGGCTCGTCCCGCGAGACGCGATAGAGGCGGAGTCGGGTGGGGCGGGGGTAGGTGGGGCCCGCCCACCCGCCAGGGGGCAGAGGCCGCGCTGCAGCTCCGCTTGGACTTAGTGCGGGCCTGGTGCGCACGCGCCGGCTGCTGGTGCTGCTGCTGGTGCTGCTGCTGCGGCCGGGGTGGCGACCTTGTCCGTCCTTCATCCAGCCTGGAAGAGGGTGAGGCGCGGCAGGCACTTACTGTCGGGGCTGGTGCTCTGTGGGGAGTTTGGCTGTGCTCCAGGCACCCCCGGGAGGCAGTGCTTCAGGCAGAGGGTGGTGGGCCCGGAGGTCTGGGAAGGGTGCTGCTGTAGAGGGAACAGAAGTGAGGGGCTCGGAGGCGGGGCCCCTGGGGAGGACGGCCTGGTCGGCTCTGTCACTGTCACCTGGGGGTGTACGAGGGGCGTGCCGGGACCCCCGGGGCAGAGGGCCCCCCAGCGGCCGCCTGCTTCCTCCACGTTCTGCTGCCTCGGGTTGAGCGCCCGCTCTTCGCACCCAGGATTCTCCGGCCCTGGGTTCGTGGCTGTCTGAAATCTGCCTCCGGTTAAAGAGGGTTGGGAATGAGAGTGACGAGACCTGGATTCTGTGGACGGAGCCCCTCGGTGGCCCAGAGGGACCCAGAGGCACGGCTCCAGGGTTTGGGCTGAGTGTCCCGGCAGCGTCCGTGTCGGCCGGTCTGTGCGCCTCCCGGGACTGAGGCTGGCGTGGCCCGTGCCTGGCGGCCAGCCCTCTGTGTGCCTTCTCATTTCCTCCTGTTGTTTGGTGACACTTGGACCTTCATCTGGTAACGAAAAACCATGAGGCTTGGCGTCTCACCCGGGTGGTCCGTGAGCCAGAAGTGAGCCAATAAAGTCCCACACTGGGAAGCTCAGTACGGCAGAGTGTCAGGCAGCTTTGGGACAGCAGTCGGCGTGGCCAGGGGCGCGTGGGCTCCGCCGCAGCAGCTGTTTGCACAGCCCCCTTGGCGTCGTGCGTTCCAGAGGAACCTGGTGCTCACAGCTGACTTGCGTTCCAGCTCTGTTGCGGAAGCCTCCAGGGGCATCTCGCGTGTAATTCAGTTGGTACACTCAGGGCCAAGCCAGCTTCCTTAATTTTCCTTTTGATAACTCAGGCCTCAATTTTATAGTTCAAATGAACATAATTAATAAGACAGATCTTACTTAGCACTTAATTAGTTAACAAAGGGCTTGTCAAATTCTGAAGCTGAAATTTGCTCAAAAATATAATGATTATACAGTGTGGTTATGCAATAAAAGTAAGTTGTTTTAGCCCAAACTGACTATAGCTATTGTGGCTTTTTAAAGGAGAGGAAAGAGTTTTTCTACTCCCTTGGAGGAATCGGTGGTGAAGGGGAAGCCTGGCATCCTTATTCCCCTAATATTGGGTTGCCCAAAAAAGTTTGTCTGGGTTTTTCTGTAAGATGGTATGGAAAAACCTGAACGACCTTTTTAGCTAACCCAGCAGTTCCATCCGCTAGTGTGTGTGGTTGGACCGGGGGTGCAAAAGCATGTGCCTCTGGTTTATGAGAGGAGCCCATCAGCCTTTCCTTATGAGACACAGCTTCCAGCACGACTGACGGGTCCCCAGAGGGAGCAGGGAGACCAGGCTCTTTGGGGCAGGGAGGCTGAGGTGTGTGGGATGGACAGCATTCCACGGCCCAGACTCTCAGAAGTCGGTCCCCACACCCAAATGTCCCTTGTGAGTGACCTGTGAAACTCAGAGAAGAGGGACATGGCCCTGCCTGGGTTGATGAGGTCATCTTCCTGCAGGTGAAGGTGGCACAGAGAGAACCCCTCAGAGCTTGGCCTTGTCACCCCACAATGCGCATGGATGCTGGCAGGGAGCCACACAGGAGGCCACTCGGGGGACAGTGCACCACCAGGGCGCCAGGTGAAGACATGACTCATGACAGTGTGACGTGTAGGGCAGGGTCAGGTAACACGGAAAAAAAGCCTGGAGCAAGCTCCCGTCGTCCTGCTGCTCCGCTTCCAGAGCAGGATGTGGAGTGCCAGCATCTCCTTGTTCTGGTGGAAATGGCAACGCGAGAACAGAAAATGAGACGGGAATGCATCTCAGCACGTTCACACAGCACACCCATCACACGTGCAGCCTCAGAGTGTCTCGAGAAGGCGGATTCAAGGCAAGTCGCACTCGGTGTGTGCCGGTCAGAGCGAGCCTGTCCTTCCTCTTTCTTTTGCCCCAACTCGGCTCAAGTCCGCGCTCAGCCCCTTGGAAGATTGTCCCCTTACCCCATGGATTGCTTTCTACAATTTACACCCTCAGCAAGTGGTTTTTGAATGATGGGCATTCAGTTGGATTCAACATTAGTAAATGCTCTGTGTCAAGCCCTTCTGTGCAATGATGTCACCCTGTAGCTTTTTGACCCAAATCTCCTTCCTGGGAGTCACCCCTCACATACTGATGTGTTGTCACTGGTTTTCCTGCTTCATCTGCCCTTGGGTCATCGGTGGGTTGGCAAACACTGGCACTTTCAGCATCTCCCTGCTCTCAACCCCTCCAGCTGCTCAGCATCGACAATGCCCCTTTCATCCCAGAAGGTCATCTCTGGGCCAAACACGCAGGAGGCCCGATGTGGCATCGTTCTCTACCTGTCAGAGGACATCCACGTACCCAGAGAAGTATTCCTTTTCTTCAGACAGAGAAGTGGGCAGGGTGAACCCTCCAGCTTGACGTGATACAGCTGTAAGGGGTCATGGGAACGGGGAAGGAACTTGTGTATCTCACAACCTGCTTTTTGCCACTCACAAGCTTTGAGATGTTCCATGAGGTAATACCCCTTCCTTTAACTGCAGCTGTGCGCATTCCTGTACTGTGGGAACAGAGTCAAGACGTTTTGAGACACTGAAAGGCATCTCTGTCTCTCAAGGGAAGGCAAGTAGGGAAGTACATGGAGACTTCTGGTGTCCTAGGAAATGGAGCTGGGAGCCTTTCAGACTTGTTTAGCAGAACAGAATGGATTTTGAGGTCAAGAAAATGATCTTGTATTTTGCCAGAAAAATCTCAATTACATGTGAGGAACCACCTTTTTCTTGCTCTAATGGATTTTTTTCAAGATGAAGTTAGTGATGAAACTGGCTAATTTGCATATTTGCAGGGAATAAAAATTGAGTCAAGAATTTTTCATTGGGTGGTTCACTTTAGCAACTTTAAAAAAAACTTAAAAGGAATCCAATGCTTCTTTCTTGTGATTATAGAAAGCTGTATTAGTTTAAAAGTTCTGGGGCATCCCTGGTGGCGCAGTGGTTGAGAGCCTGCCTGCCGATGCAGAGGACACGGGTTCGTGCCCCAGTCCGGGAGGATCCCATATGCCATGGAGCGGCTGGGCCCGTGAGCCATGGCCGCTGAGCCTGTGCGTCCGGAGCCTGTGCTCCGCAATGGGAGAGGCCACAGCGGTGAGAGGCCCGCGAACCACACACACAAAAAAAGTTCTACCATTCTCTATCACATCTGGTTTTTTGCATGAATTGACTCTTTTTTTTTTTTTACATCTTTATTGGAGTATAATTGCTTTACAATGGTGTGTTAGTTTCTGCTTTATAACAAAGTGAATCAGTTATACATATACATATGTCCCCATATCTCTTCCCTCTTGTGTCTCCCTCCCTCCCATCTCCCTGTGCTATGCGGCTGCTTCCCACTAGCTCTCTATTTTACGTTTGGTAGTGTATATATGTCCATGCCACTCTCTCACTTTGTCACAGCTTACCCTTCCCCCTCCCCATGTCCTCAAGTCCATTCTCTACATCAGTGTCTTTATTCCTGTCCTGCCCCTAAGTTCTTCAGAACTTTTTTTTTTTTTAGATTCCATGTATACATATATATGTGTTAGCATACGGTATTTGTTTTTCTCTTTCTGACTTACTTCACTCTCTATGACAG